ACCAGAGAAGTGGGGTCATTGCTGTGACTGTACCTGACCATGTCATTCAAGAGCCTTTGGAAATGGCTTGTGGGAAGTGTTTGGAAAGGTTCCGAGATGTCGCCTGAAAGAGTAGAGCTGAAACACTTTCAGCTGTTCTGTATGGGAGATTCTGGTCAGAGCTCAGAAAACCAGAAGGCTGATAGAAATTCTGCCAGTAAAGACTGGGTTCGGGAGGTTTCTGCTGGGAAGAAGGACTGCAATGGGTGCTGGACTCCAGATGACCTATGTTATGGCTTGGCAGAGAGTTTGTCTGCATTTTGCTCATGTCCAGAGACTTTGTCTGATGCTGAGATTAAGGATGGCGGGCTGATTAATCTGGCAGAAGAAATTTCCAGGCAGTCAAATGTTGAGGCAGTGGCATGGCCATTTCTGGGGGCTTTTAGCCAGATTTATGTTGAGAATCAAGAGCAAAGAACCCAGCAAGATGATTTAAAATGTTGTGAGTTTGGCCAGGAAAAAAGCTCAAGTAAAGCTGTGGACTGCAAAAATAAGGCTGAGGAGATCTCCATAGCTGAGAAGGAAGAAGAGAATTGAAAAGATCGCCTGAAGGCATCACAAGCAGCAGCAAGTCTCCACCCTTTGCAGCCTCAAAACTGCAAAGGTGAAAGACTTTGCTTTGAGAAGAAAGCCACAGAGTGCCCTGTTCCAGAATGGCAGTGGCAGCTGCACCAGGTTCCAAAATGCTGGTGGCATAGAGAATTTGCTCCTCAGAATTGGATTCAGAGTGCCCAGTGATCCAGGCACTCGACCCTATGGCCAAGAGAGGGGAAAGCTTGGCTACTGCTCCAGGTGGCAAGCAGACCTTGGCATCATCCATGTGGCATTGGTTTCAGGTGCATACAAAATGCAAGAGTTCTGAGATTAAAAAGGCTTCCACCTTGACTTCACAAGGCCTGGGAAGCCAGGCAGTGTGCCCCTGAGAGGGCAGTGTGTGAAGCTGTGAGTATGAAGTGAAAGGTGTGGTGGAGACCTCAGAAGTTTGGAAAAGCCAGGATTGTAGATTGTTGGAGGAAAGCTGTAAGCGGGGAGCAAAACAGGCCTAAAAGAGAAGCCCAGGGAGCTGTAACCACCAGAAGTGCCATAGGGGAGGAGCCATGTAAGGCCTTTGGAGCTCACAATTTATCACACATTGTTTCAGATGTTCCACATGGGACTGCAGGATATGTTAGCCCTGCTGGATTTTGGAACTGCTTTGGTCTCAATGCTTCATATTTCCCTGTTTGTAACTTTTGGAATGAAAATATTTATTTTGTGCCATTGAATGTTGGAAGTGTTTAACTTTTTATTTGTACAGGGGCTGGCAACTAAGAGTTTGCCTTACAAGTTGGAGGAGACTTGGTACTTGGACTTTTCAGTAATGCTGAAACTGTTACAACTTTGGCAAGTCTAAATGCTTTTTGCGTAAAGGGATGTACATGAGTCTTTGGGGGGCCAGGGGTGGAATGTTATGGTTTGTGTGTGGATGCCCCCCAAAGCCTCCTGCAGTCATGGGGTGGGCTTCTATAGTTTAAGATTGATTCATGGTCCAATGTTGGAATTATGATGTGAGTGATACACCCGCCCTGGGGCAGATAGTTTGCATACAATGTAAAGGAGAGAAAGAGGTTTCTTGCCAGCACTCTTCCCCTTTTGCTTTTGTTGCTTATGCTATTTCCTGCTGCCATGAACTGTTGCCCTCTGCCACATGCCACTCTGCCTTGGAGCCAGCCCAGTATAGACTGAAACCTCCACAAAGTGTAAGTTAAGTAAACCTTTCCTTCCTTCATTTTGGGCATGGGGTAATTTGTCTCAGCAATGAGAGAAAAGTAACGAAGACAATACTCAGTCCTGCACTAGTCATTTCTCAAGATGAAATCTATACATTCAGGTCCTGATTATTTGAAGCACAAGTTCACAGAACTTACAAACAGTTTTTATATGTTTTTGCAATGATCTTACCTGTTACACAGCACATAAACACAACATCAAAAAGCTTCTACATACATCAGAAGATTTGCCATTAATTTTTTAAAATTCTGCTAAAGTCCTGAATGATGACAACAATATTTGAAAGCATGTAATTTGATAGTGAACAAGAACAACATGAAAACCTCTATTTTCTCAAGGCATCCTTATCATACTAGACATGTGAACATTTTTATTATAATTATGTTTTTAATGCCTTTCTACATGCCCTTTTAAAAAGTCAGTTTCAAAAAGTCAGTTCACACTGTTCTTTTTTAATTTATGACATAAACAAACCTTATGAGCCAGAGATGGCAGCAATTAAGGTTTATGTGTAAGTTACCACAGGAAAAGTAATCATCATTAATTCCTGGAACATTCCTAGAATAGGACGCAAATGTCTATTTTCAAAAGTCCCATTTGTGTTGTTCTATCAATCAACCCATGACATTTGGACCTCTAACCAACCACAGCAAAAGGATTCAAAATTAAGGTTGACACTTTGTCCTGTAACTTGTTCCAAAGTTCTGCAGGGGTTTTTCACTGCCTGATGTTTCACCATATGTGCAGACTCTAGATATAGCCAGCAGGGTTAAGCAGGATGCCTCTGTATTTTGCCACTCTCCTGTTTCCTGTTGTTTTTGGAGCAACCCTCACTTTAGCTAAACACAACCCTTCTGGGCAAATCATTTTTACTAAGGGAATCTGCAGAGTGCCCTGTGTGCTGATTACATTTCTGAAACACTATAGTCTATGAGATTCACAGTGTTCCCTGGTTTCAAATTTTGCAGTCTTTATAAAACCCATCCACTTCATGAAAAAATTAAGAAAAATTACAAAGCCATGACCACACAAGTTTTATAAATAAAAATCCAGTTATGAAATGAAACACAGGAGAATTTCTCTTTGAAACATTGTGTTTTGTCATCTGATTGTGGTTACTGGCAGATTTTCAACACTCTTTCCATATTCAAATTAATCTTAACTCCAAATTTACTATTATCTTTGATAACAGTGATATTTACTAACTTGTACTCTTACTGGGTCAGAACTAGAAAAAGTTTCTGAGTTTCACATTCAGAATTATTTTTGCTGCATAAGAGAAAAAGGTAAGAAATGAAAAAGTACCAACTACAAGTAAATTACATCCTTAGTTTAGTCTCAGTAACTAACTCTTACCAAGCCAGAGTTCATGAAAAAACATCCACAAAGAAAAACATGAATCATCTTAAAATATGTATAACTTTCCCAATTGTCTATTTCCTTGGGTCTTCTGTAAAGTAGAACATTTAGCTCTATATAATTCAAAAAAAAAAAATCTATACATAGCTTAGAGAGAGAAGCATAAATCTCATGGGTCTCAGATTCACTTCCTGTTGCCTTCTTTCATTATACGTTTAAAGGTAATCAATAAAAACTGATTTCTCTTTGTAAGTATTCGCCTATTCTGCCAGAAATAATAGCAGTCTCTGCCCTAAAACAGAGAAAAAAAAAGAAAGTAATATTTACCATAAGAGAAGAAAATGAAACTGCCTAAGCATTTTCCTGAGCCAAGAGAAACAAATAGCAAATCCAGTTGATTCTTAAAGAAAAGAAAAAAGTTTAAATACTCTTGGCATTAGTACTATTCTAAAAATCTGTGGTATCAACAAGTTTTCCAATTCTGTGTTTATATTTCTACTTTCAACAATAACCTCTTTATGTTTCCTAATAGTTTTAATATATTTCTGTGTAAATATACATATTAAAGGCAAGATTTTTGTCATTGTTGAATACTGAAGCAGTAAGGAGAGAACTGTTAGGGTCCCCAGAGCAGACCAAGACTCAAAACTACAGGGAAAAAAGAAAAAAAACGAAACAACTGAGGAGAGCAAAGTTAATTTAAGGTAAGGAACTAAAGAACTGAAAACAAACCTGTCTTGTGTCAAAGCACAAAATTTTGCCACCTGCATTTTCAGCACACACAAAACATTACTTGAAAGCTTCATATTAAAGAGTCTGGAATAATCCACTGGGATTCTCTACTATGTACACGCTATCTCAGAACCATTCACTTTGCATGTGTTTTCTTCTGCATTCTTCACAAAAGATTGTAAAAAAATACCCAGTGGGAGAGTAGCAGACTTTTACTTTGTCATGAAGTTACAACTACATTTTATAAGTTTCCCAGGTTTCCTATTTCCCTTCAGTCTGCGCTATCTGTGGACGTTGTCATACTGTAAATCAGAAAAGTTTAGCCAGTCAGGTTGAAGAATGAAGGTGAAAAGCACAGTGGAAAATACATAAAGTGCAATTAAAACCATATGACCAGAGATATTGAAGCAATACTTGCTGGAGGAAAGCCAAGAAAAAATCTAAACTTTCTTAGTGTTAGTGAAACTATCCAGTCCATTTGGGACAAGCACACAGCATGCACTAAACACAGTATTACTTTTTTCTTTCTCACACAGCAAAAGTACTCAGGGAGGTTGAGTCCTAACACAGTAATTAAGCCTATAGAGATCTTTGAGGTATAGTTAAGTTTAGAGTTGTTAATATAAAACTGATCTATCATTTAAAGCAGTAATATCTACTTAGAAATATAGCTTAAGATATAGGGTCAATTTTATATCCAGTGGGGAATATTAACAGTTTATGATGACAATATTAAATCAAAAGTCTTTTGCATTTTTCTACAAACCTTTGCCTCTAAAGACTAAGTATTCTAGTTAAGACAAAAATAATACGATTGCCTATAGTTAGACATAAAAAACAAGAAGCTATAAAACCCAAACTACCTGTCCTACTATGTATATTCCAATCTAAGACGCATAAGTCTAAGGATGTATAGAAAGTAAGAACTCTCTAAGTTGTAAAGCAACTCCAGCAAACATCTTTCCTCAAAGCCATTCCATATCTATTTCTCCTGTGCATTGGAAATGTCAAGCGCAATAATCTCAGTAGACAAACGAAATATAATTTTCAATATTGCTTTGGGATTCTGGCAAACAACTCAAATGTAGTAAATCACTTACCCCCCAGAAACTGAATTCCTCCGGCCACTCTTCCTACTGTCCGGGAGATGAGCTCGGACACACAACAACCCATGAGGGCCGTGAGCGCCACCAGGAGGAGCAGGCCACAGCCCAAGCCGGTCACTATGGTACAGATCCTCCATTCTGTGCTGGGGATGCCCTGAAAGGTGGCATAGCGCCCACATTCCTCCACCATCACCATCATCTGCCGACTCTCGTCATGCACAGGGTAGGAGCATCTCCGGAAAGTACCAAAGGACACTGGCTTGCCCAACTGGGATCCCCAGAGCCAGTAAGGCATAAAGAAGCCCACACAGGAGGTGGCAGCACAGAGAAAAGAGAGGAAAGCCCAGATCACCCCAGTACAAGTCAGGCTGGATGCCATCTTTCACCAGATTGGGCAATGACGACCTGAAGTCAATGTTCTGGAAATGCAGAAGTGAGCGAAGGTGTGAAATCACCAGTAATCCACAGTTGGGAAAGGAGGGAGTATCTAGTAGCAAAATGGATTCTCAGTTTCACTGGGCATCAACTTCCCATCCTCTGTGGTAGAGATGATGGTCCCTGTTAAAACAATAATAGGGAACATTACAAGTTAAATACTTTTTGAGAAGCGCTAACACTTTCACAGTTGGTGTGTACATTTAAGTAAAAAAACATTCAAACTCGTCTCAACACTTCAAAAGTGGGAAGAACTAATTCTCTCTGTAAGCTTCTCTATAATTCAAATTCTGTCCAACCCGCTCAAAGCTTCTTCCTGTCTTTATCTCCTGCAAATGCTCCCAAATTAACTCTGACAGCTATTTACTTAAAGAAATGCATGACTTCTATTTGCCAAGCCAGGGAATTCATTTCACTAACTCACATTAAAAGTAATGTAGCAATTTTACTGGCAGTAAACATAATTCAGGATATTAAAATAAAATGAACCATACTGTGGTTTGTTTACTTTGCTTGAAAGTACATACTCATTTTGTAGCAACTTTTCTGTGCCCCCTGAGATGTGCACTGACTCTCTATCTGAGCCCAAATAAAATAATTACGATAATCTTTCCCTATGGGAGAGTAAGCTGTTTTGGAGAGCTTGTTTTGGAAGGGAGGAGTGGAAGTACTGTATACGAACCTGCAACCATTTGAGTGACGGGTGTTTGATGTCAAGTATTAAAGAGCATGGATTACCTTTCCGATGAGACAGTAGTTCAGCAGGAGAAATGATTCCCATGAAATCATGGGAACTAATGAATCAAAAGAGTAGATGCCAACATAAGTCACACACGCACAGACTTTCTTTTACAGGGGAGGATGGTTAAGACTGCAGGAATTCTCAGATGCTACTGATTGGGTACTGGGGAGTGTCTGATCATAGTTCTGTCTAATGTAGGTACCTCGGTTGTCTATAATGTTTGTTGATTTCATGGGAATCATTTCTCCTGCTGAACTACTGTCTCATCGGAAAGGTAATCCATGCTCTTTAATACTTGACATCAAACACCCGTCACTCAAATGGTTGCAGGTTCGTATACAGTACTTCCACTCCTCCCTTCCAAAACAAGCTCCTGAGCGATTTCCCACACTTTCTATCATGAACACAGAAACACACAAGCCAGCCACCCTAGAGTTCCATCCCGAACTTCTCCTAACTCCAGCTTTAAGGGTCCACAGCCAATGCTTTGCCCCTGTCCTTTCACCATCTCCTCCCCAGACGGCCCAGTCTCCACATCTGGGTATCACCCGAGGAGACCCGCGGCTACTTTTTTTTTAATTGTCAAAGGCAGGTCAGAGGCTGAAGTTGGTCTGTCTGGGCCAGGAGGCTGGGGGAAACCGGCCGGGGCTGGCGTGGGGAAGCGGGGCCCGGGTCTCCGACGAGGCAAGGAATAAACCCATCTTCAGCCCCCCGCGATTGTCTGTCACCCACCTACCCACGGAAACACAATGATCCCTCATTCTACAACAGGGAGAGGGGGATTTTCGGCCGGCTGCGGGCGAACGGAGGCAGAGGATGGGAAGGCAGCACCCCCCGGAGGCGGACGGACACAGACGCGGCGGGCGGGCACAGCCCGCGGGGCGCCCGGCTCAGGGGATGCGGGCCGGGCGCGGTCAACCCGCCGTCCGGGCGCGGGGCGCGGGGCGCGGGGCGCGGGGCGCTCTACTCACATGGCCGGCGGGCGGCAGCCACCTCCTCTCCCGGTCCCGGGCACTCCACAACTTGCTGTCTTCCCGGGACGGAACATCCAAGGACCGGCGGACGGTCCCCGTCCTCCTCGCCGCTGTCCGGAAGCCGCAGAGCCCCGGGGCCGACTTGGGAGGCGCGCGGGGCGCGGCGGGGACCCCAGCCGGCGGAGCCCAGGCT